TTTATATTACCACCAATTGTTATTTCTCAATAAACGACTATCATTTGAAAGCTTATTGCACTACATACCCCTATTGATAAATATTTCAGAATATTGTTAAACAATTATTAAGTCATTGGAATTCAAGATTTACGATGGTATAAATACTTCTGTCACTCACTGTACGTTCACTGGGAGTATTTGGGACGATTTCATCCAAATTTCATGAAAATCGAAGGATGGACCTTTTTTTGGTCATCTTTCTGATGACAGATAGGAGACGAACGATCCACGAAACAATCGTCGAAATTATCGTCGATCTTTCTCCACCTGAGAGCGATGTAAATATTGCACCAACCCTCTTCCAGGGTGGAGTGCTGGATATGTAGGGGGATATGGTCGATAATAATAATTATTCCGCGTTCCTTCGGGTCGAAGCGACGCGACGCAACGTCCCGGCCCTCCGAGTCTCGACGTCATTTGCATTTCCAGCAACCATAACGGGTGTGGGTGGAAAAAAACGGGCAAGGGAAATAGGAGGGGTGACAGGAAGGGAGAACAAAAGAATCGCGAGCTAGCTTTAAAATTAAGATTTTTCGAGTAATCCTTTCCGACCGGGTCCGCTTTGCAAAAACAAGAATCGGTTTAATTAACTCCTTAATCATTGAAACGACCCCATAGGTCGAGCCGTTAGAGGTAGAATTTTTGAAAATAATGATTAAATTGCGGATTGTCGCGCAAATATAAATTCGATCAAAACAAATTCTTCCGCGACACCGCCTGGAATCATAGCCAGGGACTTAAACCGGTATGATTTTGATACCGATATATTACCGAAAACCGAAATAAATACCGGTATTCCTTCGGTTTCTATAAGGGTGGGGCTTATATAGGGTTATATAGGGCGAAGGTACAACCGAAAATACCGATATAATCCCGGTATTTTACGTTTCAGTAGAAATCCCTGACCATAGCTGATAGATCGATGCGCGCCTTGGCGAGAGAAGGAAGTAGTTAACGTGAACAAAAAAAAAAAAAAATGTCGTTTATCGAAACCACCGTGAGAAGGGGAAACAGAACATTGAAAGGAGACGGAGAAAAGAGGGTTGAAGTCGCCTGAGGAATGGTGGGGGCGTGCACGCCGAGTAAAACCGTGGAAAAATCCATCGAAGGGTGCGGCGTAAGGGAAGGGGGAAGATTTTTTGCCGGTTTTGATCTCGCCGAGACGCGACTTTGATTCTCAGCCGGATAAAAAAGGGTTGGAGGACCGACACGAGTGGTGTCGTTACTTCCTCCCGGCATCCCTCGCGGAATTTAATTTCAAAGAGCATGATGGGGCGGCGGCGGCTGCCGCAGTTTCTCGAAATATCTCCGAGTGGAAGTTCTCGGGGGAGATGTATGAATCCACGTTTAATTACTCCTCGATCGGGGCGGGGAGAGAGAATACTTGTAACGCGACGTTTTACGAAGAGTTCGATGATGGAATCCCCGTGGCTCGTAACGATCGAGGTGGAGAAAAAAAGAAACGCGAATAAAACAAAGGGAAGTTTAATAATAATGTTGCGTCGCAGAATTTGTTGCCTAACACGTTACTAGACCGAGGATGTTTATGCATTTGTAGCATCCTTTAACTTGGGAAACAGAGTAAACGATTTTAATAAAGTTTGATATTGTTTGGGTGTTATTAGTAAAACTATGTAGCAGAATTTTAAATTCTGCATCAGAGGATTTACTACGTTAGCCATGAAACATACATAGTGTGAAACTTTATTAATACCTCTATTTTAATTGCATTTTCTAACTTAAGCGATACAGTGAATTCTTGATGAGTGTTCGAAGCCTCCTCGGCACTGATCATTAAATATTTTATAAACTAATGGCCATACGGGGCTGAAAGAAATATCGTTGGCTTCGGAATTCCGACCTCTATCACGGCGCTAAACTTCATTAGTGTTCATGACCGGATACACGACTGTACATGGATGGATTAATCGATATTTAATCTTGATACGGTGGTGTAACACGAAAGCGAGCGATTTCTAATGTAAAAAAAGTGATAGAATTGTACGTTTATATAAATTCACGAGTTACAGTAATTGTGTTCCTGCACGATAACTGTTGCAAAGCGGTCCCGAGTTTTAGACAATAATCGCAGATTCACTGTACCTCGATATTTAATCTCAATCGTAGTTAACCTCGAGCGATTCCTAATACAAAAAAAGTGATGGAATCAGTCTGTTTCTTTAAATTCATACTCACTGAAATCTTTATAATGCTCTTTCCGAATACATTAGTTCAAGGACACCAGAATTACGGTTCGACTCTTTTATCTCCCTCGTTAAGTGCTTGCTTTCGGTCACCATTGCGGGATAAATGACCGTGGTCAAGGTTAACCGAAGCTTTTACTTTCATCCTCTCGGTAAATGGAATTTTCCGACGAATTTTATTCCAACCTAATTTTTTTTTTTTTTTTCGTAAGGATCCCTTTTTCACAGGCGCCACTACGACCGGGATACATCCCTGTACAACATCGCGGAAGATCCAAGGATGATCCCAAGGGGTGAATAGAAACGATCTTGTTTACCCTAACCTCGGGGCAATATGCTTCGTGGATTTTTATAAGAACCAAGTTTTTTTTTCATTCTCTCTAAACTCCCCTCCTACCCAGTTTCAACCCTCTCTCTCGATTCTCGGAATTTTCACCGGTCTGTAATTCCGTTTTTTTCCTTCGTCCACTCTTTTTTCCATCGTTAAGGGGCTATGCTAGTGTGACGGTAATATAATAAGGCAATTTTTGGAAATTTTTTAAAGAAAAACTATCGAACTTATCAATTTGAATAATATATACATTTACTAAATAATATTTGTAAAGTATGCTATATTTTTATACAGTAAAAACAATGTATTTTATCTGTAAATTATTCTGAAACCGTGACACTAGCGTAGCCCCTTAACTCTCTGAGGCACACGACGACTTTAAAGAAAATAAAAACCCTAGTTGCACAGAATTTCTTTTAATATAAAAATAAAATATTGAACTCTGTGACTATGAGTAATTTCAACTTTTCGAGATCGGTTAAAATATATCCCAGCATGCATAAAAAGCTAAGCAAAAGGTGGGACAGTTTTTAACCCACCTAACCCTAAAGTGTTAAACGATCACCACAGACTGCAATTCGACGAGATTGATCTCGACAGGCGGCTTCTCAGACACCGATGCCACTATTTTTTCGTCTTCCCTTTCACCCTCGTCTCTCCGCGCGTCGACGGAGACGGGATTATCCTCTGCACGAAGCACGCGCTGCTTTAATTGACCCTCGAAGTTCGACGAGAACGGGGAAATCGGGGTTGGTCTAACCGACGTCCGGTAATTGTTGTTAATTCATTTAATGGAGGAGACCCCCCGAGGTCGTTGGACTCGAGAGGATTGGGGGGGATGCTAATTTTCGTATATTCTCTGTAGCAATGTGTACTCCAGATACTTTCTTCTCTTTTTTTTTTTTTTACTCCCGTTACAATCGGTCTTAATCTTCCGCTCTTTAAACGTACGATTGTATGAGAATTCTTTCTGCGCGGTGCTCGACAGGCAGAAAAGCGTTTTTATCCCTTTTCTCCTCTCCGAAACTGTTGTTTACAGTGCAGAGAAATCCAGTCGAGACGGAGCTTAATTCCAGAACACTGTAGACTTCACGTTGAATTGTTAAAACTTAATATTTCGTTGAACTCCAGACATCCTTGTTATTACAATTTTACCCTATTCTCGCCCATTTAGCAGTCCACCAAGCATTTGTACCAATATATATTTATATCAATTTTTGTTGTGAAAAATCCGTAATTTCCAGTATCGTCGATTTTCGTGAATTAATGCTTCGTTTTCAGGATCTTCTGTTCGATGCACGGCAATAATTGTAATAACACGATTTTCCCAGCCATCCACTCGTGCTTTTGTTCGTCCTCCGTTTTTGTTTGGTGAAAAAGGTCGATCGTGCAGAGTATTTTTTATTCCCCGCACGATCGAATGGTTTTTATAACACAAGCTTCAAACGCTGTTGAAAAAAAAAATAGAAACAAAAAACAAAAACGAGGGAAAAGGAACGCGCGGGTGGAACGAATTAATACGTTTGATACGGGTTATTTCACTTCCGATAGCGCGTAGGGGGTTGATTGGTTCTCGATCCCCGTTTTTGGGGCTGAGTGGCACGTGAGATTTAATTGCGCCGTGGGCACGATTGTTGCCCGAATGAATCGAGGAATTTTATTTCCTTCGGATAATCCATGCTCGGCGAGAAAAACGTGTTTACTTCCCCCAGATTTGACTCGCCCCTAAATCGTATCACTGCTAACGTGGCGCCCCACACTGTTCGATTCAACATTTTACAATTGAATCGAATCGGAAAATTCGCAATTTCATACACGAATATCCAAAAATTAAAATACGACGGAATTTTGAATTTTGTACTAAGGCCTTTACGAAATTAGTAATAACTATAACTGCGGATTTTTATGCACAATCACATTTTAGAAGGTTCTTCAGAAAGACAAAAACAAAAGTAGGAAGTTCTTTCTCCCCTTAATCCCGTTGCATCTGACGAAACTTTCATCCTTCATTGTATTTCACAGACACCTATAGGGTATAAATGCATAAAATCCGCAGTCTAGTAATAACACATAAGTAGTATTAAATTTCATTAAACTCTTTACTGCATTTTCTAAGCGAAGGGACGCTATAAATAATAAACAGTCTACTAATAACCAATCCTGTAACCCTCATCCGTTCCTTATTTTCCCACTTTAATTTGTCCCTCGTAGTCAAATAAACCCACTGGTAAAAATTAATACAACGAAGCGATAAATAGTTAAATTTACAAATTGTTTACGGTAAAGTCACAAAGCCTCATCTAAATTCACCTACACATGACAGAATAACGTCATTTCTTAGGGGAAAACAGTATCAATATTGACAGAAGGGAGGGATAAGGGTTAAATAAATAAAAAAAATATATATATATATATTAGCGGACTGACGATGATCTTGTGTAGATCGCTCTGTAGCAGCTCGGTGATCACATAACTGTCGAAGGTGGAACTTGTTAAGAAAATTGTATGAATTCTTATTACAACACCGCGTGTTTACTGTCCCAGGTACACGTGGAAAAGCGCGTGGAAGCAATTACTAGGGGTGTTCTCGATGATTCTCTTACGACGCCGTTTCGCCGCGTGTGCGTGTCGATACGCAAACAAGCTGATAAACGGAAGCTAACGAATATTAACACCTGATTAACCGGACGAATGGAAAAAATAAAATAAACGAACGAACGAACAGGTAACTACGTGTTAATCGTGGATTCGCGCGTGAACCAAATAGACCATCACCCGTTTCTTTCGCGTATCAATTCGAGCACTGACTCGAGAGGACTGGTTCTACTCACCGTGTTTTCTCTTCCTTCTACTCTTCCCCCGCCCCCTTCCCTCTTCGTCGAGGGGTAATTAAGGGAACGTGCGCGCGCGCGCGCGCGCACACGCTGTCCCTGGACGAACTTGTCGGTTAATTTGTTAGCAGAACCATATCTGGCGAGTTAATTTATCCGGGGTAGTCGTTTACGACCTTCCTTTAGGAAAGTCGAAGTACGTGATTTATACAGGTTCTTGGGATTGCTTCTATAAATTCGAACATTTAAGACGGAATCGAAACGTCATTTTAATTCTGTTGCTTTCCTTTTGTTATTCGTAATATCTAGACTGTGGAAGCTTATGCAAATTCGAAATTTCAAATACCAGTATGTAAAAATTAAAATGGGTCTGAATTTTGTATTCTACGGCTTTACTATGGTAATGCAAACACGTAGATGGTATTGAACTTTATTTAAATCATTATTTTAATGATTTATACGAGTTAAGGAACGATATACAGTCGGTGTCAAAAGTATTCGTACATACTTTGAAACGGAACAACTTTTGTAAAATTGGTCCAAATGACATGAGTTATTTTGTGAAGTTAGAGACATTAGTTTAATAAATCATGTATAAAAAAAATTGAAAATGTTGCAATTGGAGCATCATTGATATTTATTATGAATATATTTATTCTGGATGGACTTCAAACGTTAGTTCCAAATTTCATTCAACGGGTGGTAACAATGAAGACTAACATGAGAATAGAAAGTCTTCACTCCACTTATTTCAAGGTGTTTCGTCCTCCGAGTGAACTAACACTAGAACTACCAGCATTGAATGTATACTAAATTAACTTGTACAATTTAGTAACGAAAATAATAAATGATACAATCTACCGCAACATGATATCACATGAAATATATAATAAATTAGAATCCAACATAAATTCTAGGAAAAGCATTATTATAACTTCAGTAATTGTAAATAAAGAACAGTAATTCCATCATTTGGACGTGTTTGGTAGTGCTAGTGTCAATTTATTGAACTGGTTTCTAGTGTCAAACTTTGTACCATTCACACGTGAGGTAAACAAATCTCCAATGCTATCGTTGCCGAAAATTTCCTGACGCGTCAGACAACGATACTGCGATTCGAGAAATGAGAAAAAGGACCATGGGTGGGGGCTTCGTTAACGAAAGCAGGGGCGCAATTTAAACCGTGAATCGTCGAATAATCCGCGAGAGCGGAAATTTCTGTCGGTCGACAAAAGCGAAATCCCGGAAACGAACGGTCCGGCCGTCATTGTGCGTCGAAGGCTCCGTTTCCAAAGGAAGTTTCCAACCCCCTACATCTCGTCAAGCGACGTGAATTACCTTCCCGGTTTATTAAGACGAGCTACTTTCGTCATGGTTCTCGATCCTTTCTTCGAGCCACGTTTACTCATCGTTTCGACGGATTAACTTGTTCGTAGTCGTTGTAAGAAATCCCGCGGGGTGAGGGGGATAGCTGTCTCCATTTTTTGCAAATACGCCTATAATTTTTGTACGCCTATCTGTTAGAGGATTTCAACACGAATTCGGTAAGTATCATAATATAACATGTGTTACATTTTTTTTTTTTTTTAATTGTATTTGTGAAAGAAAATTGAAGGTGACCTTGAAAAATCATGAGAAAAAAGGGTTGCCAAAAAATTTGCTATATTCTATTTTACGCATAAAATAAGTGAAATAGCATTTTTTAATTTCAAACACATTTTATAATTCTTGCTTTGATTATTATTATTTTCACCAACATACTTGAACTGTATATATGCCCTGCTAAATGTAGAAATTCTGAATTTTTCAAGATCGAAAAAAATAGAATTTTGCGAATCTTGCATTTTCGACAAGATATTCGAATTCAGTAACCCAAAAAATATAAGAATATCGATTTTTATGAATTTTGGCCAGCTTTTCGGGAAAAAGAACCACTATGCGACGTTCCGATCGATCGCGGCCGCGTGACAACCCGACGATATTCCGATTGACGTTATCGCGATTCGATTCGAGGCCCGATTAGCCTTCCCCCGGGCTTCAACGAAATCCCGTCGTGACGTTGAACCACCCACTCTTCGTCCTCGATCGAACAGACGGGTTTTAGGGTGGACGTATTCTGTCTAAACCAAAAAGCTCTAAACTAATTCATTTTCGACCTAAGATCCCTAATACTTTTTTTAAGGAGGATACAAAGATGCATCGGTTGATGAAAAAAAAAAAAATGTAATTTCATTAGAAAAAATTAAAGGTGACATTAATTTTTTATTAAATAAAAAAGTTTTGTGTTAATTTTTTCGATTGAAATTTGTTCTCACATGATTACTGATTAATTTTTATTTCGAAACCTATTTTATCAGTTTATCGGAAATGTGAGAAAAACCGAAACGATTCAGAGTAAGAGATATTCGATTCAATATCTTTTCGTAAACAACAGTTGTTTATAGCGGACAGAAGTGGCACTGATACTTTTTCATAGAAAAAACTTCCCTGGTAAAAAAATTTGTTTTAATTTTGTCGTTAAATTTTGTTAAATTTGTTTTAATCAGGCGAGAAGGAGATTGACAATTGTCGAATAGGTTCCCAGTTCTTGCGATAAGTAGAAACAGGGAGTGGTGGACAGACGTGAACGCGTCAGACTAGTGATGGGCTCTCAAGCCCTTCGAATCACTTCGAATGTTTACATATGGCAAATAATTCGAACATGATTCAACGCTTAAACCTATAAAATTTTGTAATACGTATATTGTTAATAACAAAGGATCTAAATAAACGTATCTTGTCACGATACTGTTCCAAGAGTAACAAAGGAAACTACACCGAGTGCCATAACTATAAAACCATCCTAAAATTTTCAATTCTTATACACTGTGGTCAAAATAAAAACGAACCATGTCTGAAATCGTTGCTGAATCGAATTTCTGTGCTCGAAAGTACGCTTGAAGGGGAAGTGCCACGCGTGGCAATATGTTCAGTGGCAATATAGTGAGAGTCCACTGTAGTTATGCATCAACTCAATACCTGTCTTCCTGGAAACAGCCTTTGTAAAAAATTATTAACAGGTTCTTATAACGATTTAGAATTACAGCTGTCCAGAAACCCAGGATTCGACGGAAAAAAAAACAATTTAGACGATTGGGGTCTCGTCGATCCAGAAAATTGCCTCTTCTCTCTCTCTTCAAGGTTGTCAACAGGTTCTGTTTCGTGAGAGTTCAGAAGACAGGTCGTCTCTTTTGGGATATTGTACAAGAGATTTCGAAAGAATTCCGACAAGTCGATGAACGGGTGTACGGTTTAATTTTAGAAGAGCGACAGAGTATTGTCGGGAGGGGGGGGGGGTACAAAAGACGAATGACCTTGACGCCAAGTCTTATAATGATCCGAGGGGATTTATTTCGAGCCTACTAGCCGCGAGGAGAGAAGGAAAGTGGGATGACTTTCGAATTACAAAATCTTTCAGCTCAAGGCTGAGCTCGCGCGCGCTCATGCCTGACAGATCGAACGCTGCAAATGAGAAAAAAAAAACACATATTTTTCTACTTGTACAATTGTACGCCAAGAATATAGACATCTATTCGAACGCAACATGACATGGAATATTCACCGAAGTATAAACAAGTCTTTTACATTATCTCTTGGTCACTGTGAAATTTTTCATAAAGATACCGAGGAATTATATCGTAGCAGAATAATCAATAGACTGCGGATGTTTATGCAAATATAAATATTTTTCGGGGTTAATTTACAGAAACTCGAATCAAATCAAGATTCGCTTACTTTATTTGCTATTCTACCAGGTTCCAAAGAAAACAACAACTTCTTCAAAATTGATCAAACTCTCGTGTAATTCTGGAGAAAATAAAATCTACAGTCTAATAATAAATTACTGTTCCATCAATTATGAATTCTGCTCCCATACTTTCGATCGTAAGTGTATTTCTCGACGTCAGAAATTTCTGTTATTTCTGCGACAGACCGTGTATTATCCGTGCATGAAGGGCAGGGATCACGGTCAAGGGAATGGTCGACGGGAGAAGTTCGGCAATTACGAAAGTCACGGTAATCGCCACCCCCTTGGTGCTTCTGCTTGGAAATTTATCGGAGAGGGTGAACTTCGCCACTGCGGTGATTTCCAAGGAACCCAGTCCCGATCGACGCTGGATCCGTGATGAAACCCAAGGTGGAAGTAGCAGAAGTTTCGCGATAAAAAGCACTCGAAAAATTTTTACGGGAGTCGAGCAATGAACCGGCATTCGAGACGGGAAATAAAAGGGGTGGAGCCCTTGAATCGGCCGGTTCGTTTCTTTCCTTTCCCACTGTATATCAATCGAGCTGTTGAGGACAGACTCTTTTGCTGTATTCATCCCCTGCTTTTCATGAAAATTCAACTTTCGTTTCTGACCGACTGCATCTGATCGACCTTTTTTTTTTTTTAATTCTCCACCCTCTTGCCTAAATATGTCTACGCTTTGCAGTTCGTTGATTCGAATAAAATATTTTGCAGAGAAGTCTGGTTAAATAGATCGGTAAGGGTTAGCAGTAGTCATTTTCCTCGGTTATAAATTGGAAATACTTATTCCTGAACATCTAAGGATACTATCAAAGAACTCAGCTGCCCTTGGACACCTAAGTATACCACCAAAGA